AAGCTGATTTTTCTGTTAGGGTTTGGTAATAAGATTTGAAATGAAAGTATGTATCTTATTGTTCGACAAAATTCTTGAGAAGTTTTTGCAGTCCGACGCCCCGAAAATGCCGACTTAACGACAACATGGTTGGTGATAACCAGCTGTCGGACAAAAGCATCATTATTTAAAAAAATGCAATATTAATCTGAGAATTTAATTGTCCAACAAAATTATCGGTTTTTTTTTGCTTGTCCGACAAAATTAAACGATAAAATTTAGCGGTTTCAGTGCTTACGCATGATGTAGAAGAAAAATTTATATTTAATAAAAAAATATATATGAATAAAAAAAATTTTGTTTAAATTTCTCAAATTTCAAAATAAATGACTAATTTAAATTTTATTTTTTTATACAATTACAAAAAAATTGTATACAAGGTGGTCCCGAGCTAATAGGTCAAAATTCATGGGTAGATTCTCGAAGCAAAAATATTGCGATTTAGCCTAACTTACCTTAGTCCAAAAGTTGATAGTTAAAGAAATACAGGGTGTTAAATGTAAAATATTATTTTATATTTTTTTTCATTTATTCCTTAACAAATGCAAATATCCTCACAAAATTTTGAGGTTTGGAATTCTTTAAGTAGAGGAATTGGAATGTGTTGACATTTTGGTTAATGTTCATAGTGTGCGCTAGCTGCAGTAGATTGAATGTGTTAAAAACGATATAACTTTTTTATACTTTAAGGTATCTCATCTTTGATATCAAATTCTTATTTTTTTACACAAAAAAGTTACACTTTATAAAACTAGCTGTCTCGCACCGTTTTCGAGATATTTGGCTTTGAAACTTCCAATGCTGTTGAATTAAATTACAATGAAGTACCTACCTATTATTAATTTAGCGGTGAAATTTCTTAAGTTTGGACGAAAATCAAATAATTGACACATTCAAACTTGGCTTATTGCTGTCATTTGTATGCTACTGTCCATTAAGTATTATTCGTACTTAAAATTACATCTTAATTTAAATTGTATGTACATAAATGTGAGATGGAATGCCGAGACTTCCGTTTTTGGGGTTACATGAAATCAGTTGTTTATGGAGAAACTATAAACACCTGTTAAGAACTTTGGCAGCAGGTTTTAAATGCTGCAAAGTCATTTCGCATTAAGGATTTATACTTTACAACAAGACAATCTTTTAATAAACGCGTTGATAAATGTATAATAATATTTTTAAAATTGGTTTAAAATTGGTTTAATTGGTTTTTCAAGAACAAAACTATGTGTAAACTGTTTGTCAAAACAAGATTGCAAATTTTAATTTAAAAAAACACAAGCAAAAATTTATGCATTCATTGTACAGTTACCATTTTTTATAAAATAGTTACAATAGTTTATAAAATAAAATGTACATATAAGTTTTTTGAACAAAGAAATCATTTTGATGGAGATTAATTAAATTAGTTAGACATAATTATTTATGAATTTCAATTTCTGTTGCTCCTGTTAACAAGATAATTTTCTTATTTATTCTTCTTTATTTTTTCATTAAAAAATTAATTATTTTATAGCGGAATGAACATTAGGTACCACAAAAATAGTTATTTTTCCCATTTTTAAGGCAAATTTTCCAATCTTTTTGGCGGACAAGTATATTATTGTGTTATACATTTCAATTATTAGAGAAAAAAATCAAAACCAGATTGCTGGCTGTCACCAACCATAATGTCACCAAATCGACATATTTGGGGTGGCGGACAAACTCAAAATACCAACATTTTTGTCGGACAAATTTGTTAGGGGGTTTAAAAAAATATATCTCATTTAAACTTAAAAAAAGTGCTGGTCATAACATTCCATGTTTATGCCAGATTGACATGTTTTCCTGAAAATCACGGGAAAACTTACCACTGTTGAATTTTCCTCATAGTCAAATCTTGGGAGACTCGTCAAACTTAAGCAGCACGCAAAGTTACAGCTTGCTGGTAATAATTTTTTTCTTTGTACGTGGGCCCGTGGACTATTAAATTTATTATGTATTTTAGAATTATTTAGTTTTCCTCCAGTAGGTATCCGCCTTTTAAATAATCAAAACATTTGAAAACTTTAATTTTCCGGTTTTATAGCCTCATCTGTTGCCCACTCTGGTACCGTAGAAAACATAGTCATACCCATGAACTGGTCTATGACAATTGCAGGCAGCGTCAGTAAATAAAACAAAATATTGTGCAAACTGCCAAAGCAAATATGTGACATGTTATGTCATTGTGGTCAGAAAAGAGAAGAACCCAAACACGACAAATATACAGAATGTTCCATTTAAAAGACAAAAGAGTTTGGTTTATATCTCTAAAATGCAACATTCACGGTTTTTTAGCATATCCGAGATCACAAAAAAATTCCTGCAGCTTTGATATTTAGCAAGTTAAAGATTTTACAACACTCCATAATTTTTTAATAAACAAACATAGACAAGAGAATAGACCCTATTTTCTATGACACCCTGTATAATACAAACAGTTCTAAGATCAAATGATGATGGGTAGATACATTTATTTACAACATTTATTTAATAACGAGTGAGGTAACCTATAATCGGAAATAATACTCGTATGGAAACGGATTATAGGCAATTTAACTTTTTACAGACGCACTCACCAAAAAATAACGTAATTGATAAAAAGCAGAGCAATCCGCAACAAAAGCCCCCGAAAAAAAATATAGCGTGACTGACGCCCGTTTTTGTTCTCGCGTGTTTTTTCGCCACGGCCTACATAATTTTTTCGAACAAAACGAACGAACAAATACGCGCAGCGCCGAAAATAATGAGTCGGCGCGCGGAAAAAAAATGAAGAACGTCTTCTAAGTTTCTTTGGCGTATTGTAAAGCGTAAACTGCAGACTGGTATTCGGCGTACACGAGAGAAGATTACTGGTTATGAATGAGTAGTATTTCGAGCAAGATTCAATGCGGAGCCCCGGGGCGTTTCACACAACCACTCGTCTCGGTTCTTGGCCAGAGTTGATGATTTCAGCGGATGCGATGGAAGCGCGACATTTGCACCAACACTGTAAACCACGGCGTAAACCGGCAAATTCAGATGAGCGAAAATCGTAATAATATTTTAATTGGAACACTGTATATTATTGCATTTTTTAATTTCTTGGTTAATATTAGGTAGAGTTTATTAAATGTACATGGTGTTTAAAACTTACCGTTTTCGAGATAATCTGTTGTTTAAAAAAAAAAATCTAGTCGTTGGATAATAATTGAATGTTCGTTGTTTAAAGTGCATAAATGTCATTAAGAATAAATAAGAGAATTAAACTTGATGATTCTTTAATACAGTTAAAACAAAAGGTGATGATAACAATAACTAAACTTAATAAATGAGGCAAACACTTTCATACTACATACATATCCAATCTTCGCCTGACTTCTTTGTAGGCTGCATTTCTTAACATTTCGCAGTTTAAGTCATTAGGTATAAGCGTTTGTGATTTTTTCTTTCAAATGATTAATATCTCGCGAAGGTGTTTTGTAAACCTTATTTTTTAAAACCCCCCATAAAAAAATCGAGGGGTATTAGATCTTGTGACTTTCCGGGCCACTGAATAGCTCCATTAAGCCCAATCCATTTTTCTGGGAAAGTGTTATCTAAATATTGCTGCATAATTCCGGCCTTGTGGGGTAGAGTTTCTGTTTAGCTGCAAATGCTTATTCTCCAGAAGTGGAGGAAGTTCTTCTTGTAGGAAATTTAGGTAACTCACGCTGTTCAACATATGTTCATAAAAATAAGGCCCAATTAAATGCCTACATTTACTCCAAAATGGTCTTGGTTTTCGGATGGTTTGGAGATTTTTAATGAACTAGTAGTGTTCGTTGCGCCTATTTGGCAAACCATTACTGACAAATTGACTGTCAACCATCCAAAGAACGTGTCGAAAAAGGTTCTGATCAATAGTTTCTACATTTACTACAATTTGAGCTATAAAATTAAATATGTTTTCAATGTGACGCTCAGGCAAATACTCCCAATTGTGAATTTTGTAGTCATGATACCCATTGACCTTAAAAATTCGTTGAACGGTTGATTTATCCAAATTCAATTCCCGGCTAGCTTGCCATATAGAATTTCGCGGATTTTGTTCGAAATACTGTAACACTCCAGCTGTATTAACATTGTTTCTTACACTTCGGTGAATTATTTGATTTTTCCGACCAGAAAATGCATGTTCATTTCGTCGCAAAGTAGCCTTCATTCTTGTAAAGGTTCTATGATCAGGAATGAGGTGCTCTGGATACCTTTCTCGATGTAATTCTACAACAGCTCTTCTTGAATTTTTTTTCGACGCCGTAAATTAGTAACATATCGACTTTTTCTGAATGAGAAAACGTTTTGTAAGTACAAAAGTTATACGTTTGACGTTCGCATTGAGTAATGACAACTATTCTGTGACATTTATGCACTTCAAATAACGAAAATTCAATTATTTTCCAACGACTACTTGATACTTCCACATCGAATGTGATTTTTAGGTGGCATTTCTTTTGAGACTCTTTAAGACGATATTGTTTATAACTTTTAAACGGGAAGTAATACAGAAACATTTTTCTAATAAAAGTTTAATAGAAAAAAATAGAGCTGTTTAACAGGGAAAAAAAATTGGGTATGTTTCAGGAAAAAATATAATTGATGACGTCATTAGTCCCATTTAACACCACTTGTATCCTCACAGTAGGCATGTATCATCGATTTTGCGACACTCTGTACATAGGATTTTATGTTGTGGTTTTATGCTTTATACTTCTTTTTTTATTGTATTTTAAACAGTGGTGCAAACGGCGCGCTCCGCCCATCTGTAGGTAGCCTGCGACTGCCGATTGGAAGGAAGAGGGTCGCCGAAGGCACCGGCTCACCGCCGGCAGCGTTGTTGTTACCTACGAGGCCAGGCAAACCATCGCGTCGCACACACATGCACCACGACCTCTTCTGCGATCGCCGCGGATCGTTTTTCTTTCAGTCGGCTGTGGAACGCCGGTAGTGGATGATGTGATCGTTGCGGGTAGCGTACGTTTTTGACATATGAATATTTTTTATGACGGTAACGTCGAGTTGGCCGGATCGTGTTCAGTTTCATTCATTGTTGGCTTTACGCGAGTTAGTGTGTTGTGACAAGCGTGCTTTGTTGGATTATCAGGGCGAATCCTCGGTGAGAATTTTAACTATGCGATGCTCTTAGCGTTCACAGAGATCGGAGACCAGAGTTTGTTGTTGGGTTTGTTTGTGAGGATCGTCATACCGCGTTTATTACGTATGATTTCATCGAGCTAATTAGTGTAATTGCTCAAGGCATAAAAGTCGGGATTCTGGAAAATTTTTTGTTATAAAGTTAGTTTCTCCAATGTGTATTGTCAGAGTTATTTTGTCTTTTGTTAAATCTAATCCAGATCTACAAACAATATTACCACACAAATGTTTTTAAACGAACTCGCGGTGTAAAAATGTTTTTGTTTGCACTTCAATAAAGTTTAAGGGCAGAAAATGTCTGTTCACGTTAGAAAATCATTCATTTGGATTCAATATTTCAATCAAGCAGGCTTTCTACATGTTTCTCATTTTGAAATGATTTTTTACAGAGTAAAGGTACAAAGTCTTGACAACGTTTTAAAGATGACACTCACTGATTTCGAAAGATTAATTGAATGTATGATTTATTTATACCCGCACAAAATTCAAAATATAGAATTGCTATGCTGTGAATTTGTCCATGTTTGTGATCAGACATGTCTAAACTCTTGTTTGGAGCACATGTTTGAGTTTAAAACTTTTTATTTTCTATTCTCGATGAAAAACAATAAACAAGGCATTTGTATAAATGTTTTTACACATGTTTGCATACAACTTTTAAAGCTTTTATGTTTTTTTTTTGTATGTTTACAAGCAAAATAATATAGATCTGGACTAAGCTTTATACGTATTTTAATTTTAATGTACTTTGTGACAAACTAAATTTATGAATACCAAAAAGGCTCACACTTGACTGTCTATTTAATATTTATTATACATAAGTATGTACTCTACAATGTGAAAGACTCAGATTATACTACAGAAAAGCAACTTTTAATAAACAAGTAGGTATATGGTCCAGGCGAACAAATTCGAGGTGTTTGTATTTGAAGTCATCTATTTTGTTGTACAGAAAAATCCCAAATATTATGTAGAATAAGAATCCGAGTTTGACTATTCCGAAAAACCATTGCTAAATTCAGGGGAACAACAAACATACAAAAAGAACGAAAAATGACCCGTTTTTCGACATATTTTTCCCTGTAAAATTGAAAATAAACCCTAAATAAAAAAAAAATATTTATTTTTTGTTTATTTGGCGATTTTCTATGAGGTTACAATAACTACGAATCAAAAAAGTTGAATTTTGCATTAACAATGGGCGAAAAATAGTAGAAAATCATCATGTATATTTGGGATAATTTTTAAAATAAGTAATTTAAATAATGCTAATTCGATCGCTCCTGTTTTTTTTAAGGATTCATTAATATGTTTCAGATCTGAATATCCTAGATAGTTCCACGGTGTTTTACTTTTTTCATTACATAGTAAGCAATTCTAGCAATATAATTTGGTTTTGGTTTCAGTGCCTGTTAACCACTCATATTTATTGTACCAATTTTTACTAAATGATCCGTTTTCATGTCAGGCGTAGGTTTTAATTTTGAAATAAATAATTTACCATCGAAAGTCAACGTACTAAATTTTTTATCTAATAAAAAAATTAACAATACATTAACATTGCTACTCACCAATTCGCGAATTTCACTTGCCATTTTGCTTTAAGTACTCCAAACTATTAAACAATAAAAACTTGCCTAAACCACCACCACTAGAAACCCTTACCTTGTCTAGGTTGTTTTACTATTTGTTCACAAAGTTTCATCAATATGTATTTATAAATATTTACTTATTTTAAAAATTGCTCCAAATATACATATGATTTTCTATTTTTCGCCCATTGTTAATGCAAAATACAACTTCTATGATTTGCAGTTGTTGTAACTATATAGAAAATTGTCAAATAAACAAAAAATAAAGAATTACTTTTTTTTATTTAGGGCTTACTTTCAATGTTACAGGGAAAAATATGTCGAAAATCGGGTCATTTTTCGTTCTTTTGGTCTTGGTCTCTGTAACGTTAACAATAATTGATATTTCCCTAAATCTATTTCAAAACATCTGTAATCAATCCCGAATTATGATGCTTCTATGTATTATTTAATTAAATATTTGTAGATTATACAGGGTGTCCCAATATTCCGCGTACGTGGAGCTACCACAGTTATTTGCGATCAAAATAAGCAGATTAATTAAACTTACTTCTATCCTAAGTTGTTTCGTTGAACCGGTAGAAGGCATCAAATTCGACGAAAAAAAATTGTTTCTTTTTTTTCAAATAATTTTAAAGCGTCAGTAAGGTTTTATTGAAACTTGGTACACTATTACTGTGAGGATTAGTTGTTCGGAGATTACTGTTATCGCTGTACTTGTGAAAATTATAGTCTTAATCTAACACTGGTTGAAACAATAAATTAGACATTTATTATGTACGTACATAATACTTTTGTTAATTAATTATCTGTGGTAGCCCCATGTCGAGGGGCGATCCGCTAAGGAAAAAACGTACGAAGATTACAAAATTTCTGAAATCTCTTGTAATGTATCTGCAGATTTCAATATCGATTAAAAAAAAATTACAAATTTCATATAAATAATCAAGATTACAATATCTTTCAACCGATTACAAAACATTTCAGGAGATTTCAGAGTTATTTTAGTAGATTTCAATGATTATTTAAGATTTCAATAGGATTATTCGAAATTAAAAGAAGATTTCAAAATTTCTTAATAATATTTCAAGGAATACGGGAAGATTACAATAAGTTTTGAATGTCCATTTGAACAAAAATAATTGAATTAACTTCAACTGTCATTCATTTCATTCATTAACAGTAGTGCTTTGATTAAGAATTTCCAGTATCATTTTTACGCAAAAATTGTAACATTCTGATTAAGTTTTTGTTCGAATGAACGTTAAAAACTTTTTGTCATGACAAAAATGATAACGCCATTTTGAAAGTAGGTAAGTATATATTTTTATTGAAAGATAAAAATATAATAATCCAATAAACTAATAAAAATAAAAAAATAGAAGTAACATAAAATAAACATTTTCCCAAAAAATAAATAATAAGAAATATTTTAAGCTTTTATTAACACTTGTATTTAATACTTTACCTGTATACAGTGTATTTAAAAAAGACGCGGCAATATTTAAGGGGGCGATTGCCCAGATCATTTTATAAAAAAAAGTTCCTATAAACATACGTCCGCAAACGCTTCGTTACCGATCTACAGAATGTTGAAATTTCATTAAAAAAACAGTAAAAATTAAATTTCTCCAAAACCTCTTGATATTATAATGAAATTTTAGGCCTGTCAATAGCTATGGCAGACGCGTACTTTGCAATACAAAACGATTTTTTAGTCTTACCAGTGACTAGCTATTTTTAATGAAAAAAATAGGACCCCGCTGGTTTTTCTAAAAATATAATTTTTTAATTCCTTGTTCAATTATGAAGAAGAAAGCTTTCCTCAGATTATACGCACCGTACGTCACACCGTTATTGAGTAAAAAAATAAAAAACATTTTATTGCGCACCTAAACCCAATGTTGTTTTAATTGAGAAATTTAAATTATTGAACAAAGAAATTCAAATTATCAAATTTGATTGATTTTTGAAATGTGGTACATACTGTTGTTTGTAGTAGGTAATAATAAGGGGCTGCGTTTTAGAGAAATTTAATTTTTACTGTTTTTTAATGAAATTTCACATTCTGTAGATCGGTAACGAAGCGTTTGCGGACCTATGTTTATAGGACTTTTTTTATAAACTGACCTGAGCAATCACTCCCTTAAATATTGCCGCGTCTTTTTTAAACACACTGTATACAAGTAAAGTATTAAATGCAAGTATTAATAAAAGCTTAATATATTTTTTATTTATTAGTTTTTGGGAAAATACTTACCTACTTTCAAAATAGCATTATCATTTTTGTCATGACAAAATGTTTTTAACGTTCATTCGAATAAAAAACTTAATCAGAATGTTACAATTTTTGCCCAAAAAATGCCTGATACTGGAAATTCTTAATCAAAGTACTACTGTTAATGAATGAAATGAATGACATTTGAAGTTAATTCAATTATTTTTGTTCAAATGGACATTCAAAACTTATTGTTATCTTCCCGTATTCCTTGAAACCTTATTAAGAAATTTTGAAATATTCTTTTAATTTCTAATAATCCTATTGAAATCTTAAGTAATCATTGAAATCTACTAAAATAACTCTGAAATCTCCTGACCTGTGTTGTAATCTTGATTATTTATATGAAATTTGTAATATTTTTTGAATTGATATTGAAATCTGCAGATACATTACAAGAGATTTCAGAAATTTTGTAATCTTCGTCTGTTTTTTCCTTGGCGGATTGCCCTTCGGAACACACCAATCGCACCATATAGGTTTCTGTCGAGGTTTCTGTGGCATTCTTTGGAAAATTCATTAGCTGATTACATAGATTACAGCGAGGATTACAGATAAGATTACGTAGATTACATAAAGATTCCAGGGCAAACGTACGAAGATTACATCAGCGGATCGCCCCTCGCCCCATGTATACGGAATACTAGGACACTCTGTAGAGTAAAATTCATATAGCAATGATTTAATAACAAATTATTTCATGACGTAAAAAACATAGTCATCGAATTAGGTATACAGGGTGTCTACGGTACTGTAACTGCCCATTAAATATTTCAATTTGACTTTTGAAAATTTGGGCACTGGGGTTTTCCCGAGTGCTCTCTTTAAATACAATAATGCTATGGTTGTAGCACTTCCGGTTATACCTTAAGTCACCATCTACTTGTTTACTTTAAATAGAGCTTAGAAAAAGTCACTTGGAATAATGCTAATGGAAATAGCGATAGCTTCGTAACTGGTGAAAAAAATGCCATTTTTCGAATTCTGTCTCTCTACAACAACCTTCTCAACTACCTTTTCCAACAATCTCGAATCCGACCAAAAAACGGCAACCGCTCATTAACTGCTGAAAATAAAAAAAAGTCTAGAAGA